ATGGCTGAAGAGCATTTCATCGTACGGATGGACCACAGCTTGTCCGTTGTCATGGCTGAAGAGCATTTCATCGTACGGATGGACCACAGCTTGTCGTTGTCATGGCTGAAGAGCATCTCATCGTACGGATGGACCACAGCTTGTCGTTGTCATGGCTGAAGAGCATTTCATTGTACGGATGGACCACAGCTTGTCGTTGTTATGGCTGAAGAGCATTTCATTGTACGGATGGACCACAGCTTGTCCGTTGTCATGGCTGAAGAGCGTTTCATTGTACAGATGGACCACAGCTTGTCTGTTCGTCTGTTGCTGGGCATCTGGGCTGTTCCTACTTTTGGCGACGGCAGACAGTGCTGTTGTGGATGTGTGTGAGCATGTACTGGTTTGAGCACCCATCTTGAGTTCTTTTGGCTGTATACTTAGGAGTCAAGTCGGGTTGCAGGGTCCTATGTACCTCTGTGTAACCCCATCGGGGCGTCTAGCATCACCTGCAACACCATTTCTGTATCATCCACTGCATCCCTGGCACTACCTTCCGTCGGCTCACCTTGGTGATGTGACCACCCAGTTGATCGTTTGGACGCCGTGAGGTGGGGAGGTTTAAATTGCTGGTCCCACGCACTGCCTGTTTGGGGCGATGTGAGAAGGGGTGGGCAGTGGGTGCTGTGACTGCCCCTCTGGGGAGCAGGGGCCAGGCCGTTGGATGTTGAAGGTCCTCCCAATACTGCGCTGTTGGCCTCCTTCTGCCTGTCCTTCCAGCTCTTAACCCCAGAACGCAGTTTCTGTGGCCAGAGGGCCATCGCTTTTGACCGAATGGCAGTGAAACGGGGCTTAGGAGTCAAGCAGTGTGTGTTAAACCAACCCACGTGCCGTGGAGTCGACTCTGACTCCCCGCAACCCCACATGTGTCAGAGCAGAAGTGTGCTGCGTGGGGTTTTCAGCGGCTGGCTTTTCAGACATAGATCACCAGGCTTTTCTTCCGAGGTGCATCTGGGTGGACTTGGACGTCCATCCTCTTGGTCAGCAGCCTAGCGTGTTCACGGTTCGCGCCCCAGGGCTCCAAGCATGCCTGGGTGAAGTCTGTCACAGCCTGCCCCGTCTGCGGCTTTGGTGGAGTCATGCCCAGACTCTCACGCCGGGTGTCTTCACAGGAGGTTGGCTCCCATCAGCAAGCACCACTGCAAACGATGACTCGTTCTTTTTCCCCAGCTGCTGATTACAGGCAGGGGTTTGCAGCAGCTGTAATTCTGTCAGCAGCAGCCCCACTTCATTAAAGCTCCCCGAGAGTAAATGCTGTTTACGTCCTTCCTCCCAAAGCCCCCACCCATCCCCAAGAATGTAAATTATAAGTTGTACGGCTCACAATGGCTCGCCGGGCTCTGGAGTGACCGTTCTTTCCCCAGGAGTGTGCCTGACACTTAGGCATACCGTAACGAGCACTGGTTCAAGTTCCCAGTCACGCTGCTGGAAAAGTGAGGGCGCGGGCTTGTTCACGCTCAGCTGTCAATCGACCAGCAGCAACATCTTTAAGAAAATAGCTTATCCCACCTCGTGAGGGCTGGGCAGGCCCCTGGCCTGGGTGGAGTGACAGGGATGCCTTGCTGTGTGGGGTCAGGAGTGAGGCGGGTCTTCGGGGCAGGGAGCAGCCCCCGGGGTTTGTCCTTTAGGAACGTGGAGCGCGTGGTGAGCAGAGGCCGGGTCTGGAGTTAGTCAGATGCTGGCGGACACAGGTGGCTGACGCTTGCACTCAAGGGAGGGCTGAAGCAGGTACTCAGAGGCGGTCTCAGGGCTTTGCTGTTGGCCGGTGTCTGAGTTCCCTGCTGCTGCCATAACAGAGCTGTCACACGGGGGCGGCTTTAAAGATGAGAAATTTATTCTCGCGGTTCTGGAGGCTGTCAGTCCGAATCCAGGCCTGGGCCGTGTCAATTCCTTCTGTGAGCCTCTCTCCTAGTTTCTGGAGTCTGCTGGGAATCCTTGACGCTCCTCGGCACCTGTCTTCCCCTGTGCGTGTCTGAGTTTGTTCTGCTCTTTTTATAACTCAGAAAGAATTAGGTCTAGGACCCACCCTACACTAGTGTGGAATCATTAACATCACAAGAGAAAACCCCATTTCCAAACAGGTCATATTTACAGGGGCCAAGACTTTAATGTATATTTTCAGGGGACACAACTCTTGCCAAGCACCCAGTTACGGGGATGATCTCTCCAGGAGTCTGGGCAGGGTCCCTGCCCCTTCCCCACGTGGTGCCCTCGACTGGGGACCCTGGGGGATGGCAGCAGTAGGTGTCTCTGCCCAGAGCATGGGGGGACGCCCTGACGCCTTCTCTGCTTTCTCTCTGACAGCCCCACATTGGCCGCCTGGGCCTGCCCCACGGGCCTTCGGGAGAGAAGGTGGCCGTGGTGGCCGTGGATGACTGTGACACGGCCATGGCTGTGCGCTTCGGGAGCTCCGTCGGGAACTACAGCTGTGCGGCCCAGGGCACTCAGAGCGGCTCCAAGAAGTGAGCACCCAGGGCAGGGTCTGGGTTTCCAGAACCTTCCACAGCCATGCTCCAAAGAGCAAACCTCCTGGACACAGGGGCTCTCTGATCTGGGCTGTGGTCAGATCCCCTCCCCTTGGTTGGGGCGCCTTCCCTCTGACACAGAGAACCTTCTAGAATAAATCCCTTAGAAACATCTGTCCAAGGGTGCCAAAGCCAGCCCCAGGGTTGTGACGGCCGTCCCCAGCCCTCTCTTCATCGCCGTGGGATTGCTGGCTTCGTCCCAGCACTGGCCCGTGGGGCTCAACACTCAGCCAACAGTCCTCACCCTTCGAGTTGACACAGCCATTTCACCTTCCTGGGACCAGAGCTTCCTCAGGGCTCATCCTAACTCCAGAGCAAAGTCTGACCTCAACATGTGTGGCCCTTGAAAGCCAGACCCTTCACTTCTTTGTCCTAGTCGGCCTGGTTTCCACTTGTGTCTTGGTGGATATTTAATTACCTTTTTGAAGACCGCATTTAAAATTAACCTGATGTGTACGGGGCTTCTGACACATGCCCCTGACGGTCACACACCGTTTGATCCAATCCCTCATCCACCTGTGATGCAGATGGGATTGTGGCCAGTGAGGTTAGAGCCCTGCCCAGGGCCTGCAGCCGCTCACGGTGGAGCCAGGGTTGTAGAGGTTGTTGACCTCCCTGCAGGCTCATCTACTTCCTGTGGGGTTTCCAGGCCGAGGATGCGCGCGTCCCTGAGTCCAGCGTGCACTCTGGCTCTGTGCATACCACACCCTGGGTGGTGGGCTGGGTGGACCATGACTGGCCAACCCAGAACGTGCAGTTTGTCAGGATGTACTGCACATGTGGGTAAACCGAGGCACAGAGAGGTTTGAAGAGCCGGGGGCCCCAGAAGCAGGACCCAGCTGTATGTTCTCAGCCATCCGTCACTCCCTCCCGCCGCCTGCCTGTTCTGTCCTGCATGCACAGTGAACAGAGTCTCTGGCAGCAGGGCTGGTGTGCCGTTCCCACCACGCGGACCTCACAGGGGCGGCCTTGCTTCCCCAGGTCCCTGGATCTGACGGGGCCGCTTCTCCTGGGGGGCGTCCCCAACCTGCCCGAGGACTTCCCCGTGCACAACCGGCAGTTTGTGGGCTGCATGCGGAACCTCTCCGTCGACGGCAAGAGCATGGACATGGCCAGCTTCATCGCCAACAACGGCACCAGGGCAGGTAGGCGTGAGCTCCCGTCTGCGTCCCTGGGTACCGTCTGGAACTGACCCATGGTGCCCAGACATGGGTGCCTGCTGGGAGTGGACCACAGCCTGGGCTGGCCAGAGACGTGCTCTCGGGGTCCACTCTGAGAGTGGGGTGTACAGTTTCGGGTTGCAGTGACGCTGCCACTCCAGCTGCCAGGCTAGGATGGCCAGACAGCCAGGGTGCACACAGACACCCAGGCTCTTCAGCCAGCTGTGCGGTGGCCTAGAGACCCTGAGGCTCTGGGCGTCTGCAGAGTTTTCAAGGCCTCTGTTCTTAGGCCCGGCCGCTTCGCTCTGGCTCAGGGGTGGCGTTAGTCCCCACCACAGTGCCCTGCCCCACTCCCCCAAGACCACGCCTCACCCTCTGTCCTTCCAGGTTGCGCGGCCCAGAGGAACTTCTGTGATGGAGTCCGGTGTCAGAACGGGGGCACATGTGTCAACAGGTGGAACACGTACCTCTGCGCCTGCCCGCTCCGGTTTGGCGGGAAGAACTGTGAGCAAGGTGAGTCCTGGCCCTCGGATGGGGTGGTGCCTGGGACCCCTCGTAAAGGACCTCACAGGGAGACCTTTGTGGGCCTGACATCTGGGGCTGACCTTCTGGCAGCTTGTGTGTCTCCCTGTCCCCACCACCGTGGCCCCAGTGGGGAGCAAGGTCTGCTCCAGGGGGTGTTGAGAGGGTCATGGGGTCACCACAGTGGGGTGAACTTGCATCTGGGATCCAGGGGTCAGGGATGGTTCTGCAGGACACTGTTCCCAGAGGGGACGCTGTGCCTCCTGGCGGCTGCATCTCTCACAGGCCCCCACTGGCCTGAAAGCTGCAGTTCCCGGGCCCAGCACCTCCAGCCCCGTGTCCCCTCGCACGATCTCAGAGGGCATGCCTCCAATTGGCTGGGACGGTGCTGTGACCATAGAGGACAAGCGCCATCGGTCCCAGCCCCAGCCCTGCTCTAGCAGCAGCCTGGACTTCTCTTCCTTCCTAGCTCATGGTTACAGCCGTACACTGGTAAACAAGTACCACCATTTTTTTTAAATCATCGACTCTACATTTAAGATAAACAGAAGCGGCGGGTTGAGGCCAGGCCAATTGGGGCAAGCTCACCCTCCACCGTGGGAGGTTCCCGATGCTCGTCAGCAAGGTAAAGGCTGCAGCCCGACCCGACCTTCAGAATTTAGGCTGCACCTGCTCTGTCCGGAGGGCACTGGGACCCGGCAGGCAGGGCTGGTCTGTGGAGCACCCAGAGCCCTGTAGACGTCAGATGGCCTCTCCTGCACCCCACGTGTCACATGCGGGTCTGCGCGTGACTATTTTAGGGGGCGGGGTGCACAGCTTTCTTCCAATTCTCCGATGAGCTGATGGGCCAAGAAAAGGTGGGGGAACTGCGGCCACACGTGTCAGGAGAGCAGAGTTAACCAGTCACTGCCGGCCAGCAGAGGTGGAGCTTGCCCATCTGCCATCTCCACCCTGCCCAGGAGGTGGTCACTTACTGGTCTGAGGCCACGTGACCGAGATTGATGTTGGTCTGTAGTGTTTGTTTGGGACAGAGTTTAAAAGTCAGCGTGCTTCTACGCATGTTGAACACGTGGGGAGCCATAGCAGTGAATGGAGCCCCTGAGCCCCGCGGTCTGTGTGCCTGGCGGGCTCTCTGGGACCCTCCAGACAGGACCCGGTGTGAGCAGGGAGCCCAGCACTGCAGGGCGGGGCCCAGGCGCCAGGTGGGGCTGTCACAGCGGGATTTCCTGTTATGGAAGCCAGCACACCCTGACAAGTCGCGCCAAGGAAAACGCAACCACATGTTTGGGTTCGTGTGGGCAGGAAGCAAACCCACAGGTCAGCAGGCTCAGCGTTCCCCGAAGGCGGCCCTTGCGCGGCGTGCCCTCTGCCGCTGGCCTTGGGGTCTGTGCTGATGACTATTTAATCCTGCTTGGGCGAGATCAAGGGAGAGGCCACTTGCCATGGGTCGTCAGGAGTCCGTGATGCAGGCCTAGGAAGGCAGTTTGCCTGAGCATCATGCCTCGTTCCCAGAGTTTTCTAAGTGTTGCAGACTTGAGGAGCCTGTGTACCCTCACCTCCCTGGTTACCCCAAATCATCTGGGAGCCCTAGGCCAGCCAGCGAGCCAAGGGGCATATGGGGCATGGAGGCCTGGTGCCCGTCCCAGGAGTGGAGGCCCGGTGCCCGTCCCGGGAGTGGAGGCCCGGTGCCCGTCCCGGGAGTGGAGGCCCGGTGCCCGTCCCCACAGTGGAGGCCCGGTGCCCGTCCCCAGGAGTGGAGGCCCGGTGCCCGTCCCCGGAGTGGAGGCCCGGTGCCCGTCCCCACAGTGGAGGCCTGGTGCCCATCTGCAGGAGCAGAGGCCCATGTGCCAGGGGCAGAGGGATTGGAAACTCCCTAGACACCAGCTGAGTATAGCGCAGGCTTTGGAGCCTGAGGGGGGTGTGTATGTGTGTGGATGCGCATGTACTCACGAAGACTCAGACTGTGCTAATCAAGAAATTGCCCCCCGCCCCCCACGACGGACGCCTGCCTGTGCCCGGCCCTGACAGCCACCAGGCAGGTGTGGGCGTGACAGGTGGGCTGGGCTGACTAGGACCCCTGCCCCCAGCACCCCTGTCCACTGAGCCCAGGATCCTGGGTTACCCTGCTCTGCCTCCCACCCCGCCCGAGAGCACTTGGTCCGGTGGTTGAGGTTGGGAAGCCACAGGCCTTCGCCTGTCCTCCCTGGAATGTGGCCGTGTCCCACGAGTGGGTCCCTGCAGGGCCAAGGTGGTGGGTTCAGAGCTCTAAACCAAAAAAATCCAAGCCTACTGCCGTTGAGTGGATTCTGACTCCTGGCGACCCCGTGTGTTACAGAATACAACTGCCTGGTAGGGTTTTCTTGGCTGTGATCTTTACCGAAGCAGAGGGCCAGGCCTTTCTTCCTTGGCACCGCAGGGTGGGTTCAAACCGCCAACCTTCTGGTTAGTAGTTGAACCATTTGTGCCACCCAGGACCTCTCAGAGTTCTAGGTCGGTGCAAATGGGCGTAGTCACAGAAATGGGCCTTCGGCATGAAAATGAAACAGGCCCAGGACTCCCCTCACCCTGTCCTGAGAGCCAGCTCCCTCCCCCGCGTGATGTCGGCCCACGCCCCTCCCGGGGGCATCTGAGGCCCGTGTCTGTGTCCACAGCCATGCCGCACCCCCAGCGCTTCAGCGGAGAGAGCCTCGTGTCCTGGGACGACCTGGCCGTCACCATCTCTGTGCCCTGGTACCTGGGGCTCATGTTCAGGACCAGGAAGGCAGACAGTGTGCTGATGGAGGCCACTGCCGGCGTGTCCTCCCAGCTCCTTCTGCAGGTGAGCAAACCGCGTCCCACTCCCACACCTGGGGGGCAGGCACCCACCTGCGCACTTTAACCAGGTGCTCAGGGAGCTTGCAGGAAGGACCTTGCCTCATCACCGCCCTCTCACGCCATATGGGCCCCGCGGCTTCTCCAGAGTGAACAAAGGAAAGAAATGTCAGTGTGCCTTCCCAAGAGGCAGGACCACTGAGCCGTTCGTGAAGAGCACGGGGAAGGCAGAGCCAGCGAAGTGGTCCCGCAGGGCGCTCGTTTGCAGCCCTTTCTCTCCTCCCGGCCAGTTGAGGAGATGGAGCGGGTGGCCACGGGCGTGGCACTCAGTGGCCACGCTGCATTTAAACAGCAAGTCTGGTCTCTGTCTCACTGTGGATGTGGCCTCCTCTCTGGCTGACGGGCATCCCAGAACCAGAGGAGCAGTGAGCACCTCCCGTGACAATGAGAAGTCTCTCCGCTAAAACTGTCACCCAGCAGTGGCTGACCTTGCCGCCCATAAACCAGTTTGCCAGCAGGCTGACTCTGACTCATGGCGATCCCGTGTATGTCAGAGTAGATCTGTGCTCCACAGGGTTTTCAGTGGCTGGGTTTTTGGAAGTAGATTGCCAGGCCCTTCTTCCGAGGAGCCTCTGAGTGGGCTCACACTCCCAGCCTTTCAGTCAGCAGCCGAGTGCGTTCAGTGTTTGCACCACCCAGGGACTCCTGCTGCGTGTATGCTGTTACTCCCATCAGGTGGCTCTCAGTGAGAACCTTCCGGAAAACCCCCTTGTATCACCTTCTGTAGTACGTTCTCTTTTTATCTCTTTGGCCTTTACTGTTTTGTTTATTCTTAAAAGTTAGATAAGTACTAAAATTCCTAAAAACTTAAAAACATTTTAATGCACTCTACCCTCTAGTTCTTGGGTGTCATGAACTGTTTCCCCCTGCATCTCCCCAGCTCCGTAGGTACTTCACTGAGGGAAATGATTATTTGTTACTTTAATTTGTGGAGACAATGCCACGGTCTTCTTTCCTCGAAAGCCCTCTGCCTCCAGCTATCCGTACTCAGGAGGGTGGAGGAACCCGCACCCTGGCTGTCTGCCTGGGATTTGGGGGGATTTAAAATGCTCCCCGACTCCGGAGGTTTCTGCTCTGCGAGCAGGGGCGGGGATCTCAGGTGGTGGCGCGGTGGGCCTGCCCAGCCAGGCTCTGGGCTGTGAGCTCGCCCCCTGCCCGCACATCTTCAGGTTTCTGCCTGCAGTGACATTGGGGACGGGACACCACCCTGTAGGCACCACCACCCGTGACCACACCCCGTCAGGGCTGAGGCTGCAAAACACTCAAGGCAATTCTTCAGCTGCCACTGCTTTGCCCTCCCAGAAGGCCCCCTGCTCTGTCCTCCCAGAGAGCCCCCTCCTGTGTCCCCCCGAAGGCCCACTCCTCTGTCCCCCTAGAGAGCCCCCTGCTCTGTCCCCCCGAAGGCCCACTCCTCTGTCCCCCCAGAGAACCCCCTGCTCTGTCCCCCCAGAAAGCCCACTTTGATGCCTGTTTTCAGGCTTAATGCGCCTTGTCTGATGAGGTGGCGCTTGTGGGAACTGCCCCACCAAGGGGCTCCGTCTGATTCGGAGGGACCCACAGACTGTTTTCTCTCTTTCCTCCGGGCTTTGCGTCAGGGTGTGCGTGTCTGTGTGTGGGCACGTGCCTGTGTTTCTCTGTATGTGTGTCCCTCTGCAAGTGCGTGCGTGCACGTATGTGTCTACGCGTTTGTGTGTGTGTGACGTGTGTGAACGTGCATGTCTGTGTGCGTGTGTGTGCTCTGTATGTGTATGCGATGGTATCCAGACACTCTTGGTCTTGGTCTTAGGAAGGGGAACTGCCTGTTCACATGGGTTGTCGTGATCTTCAGCCACAGAGCCCCCTCCCTCCTCCCCTCCCTGCCTCCCTTCTCCTCTCCCCTTCCTCCCTCTCTCCCCCTCCCTCTCTCCCCCC